GACGTGTCTGTTTAGCCTTTTGTCCATGTTGAGGGCTGTCTTTTTATTGTTTAGTTGCAGGAGAGTTTATAATTTTGAAATTAGTTCTTTAAGTATATTTAAAATATTTTCTGCCAGTGTGTAGCTTGGATATTCATACTCTTAATATATTTGGATGAGTTTACCACCCAAAGTCAAATCTTGGAAGGAATCTTTATAGCACATCTCTGGAGGCATTTATTGAGGGCTTAAATATTTAAAAATAACACTTAATATTTTTAAGTATTTAATGATGACTATTTCTTTGGAAACACATATACTAATATTAAAATTTAGTTTCCCCTCCATGGGAGCTGTTAGAGTATTTTACTAGGTATTTTTGGAGAGGTTTTTCCTTGTATGCATAGTGCTGGGTATGCCCAGTATGTCTAGTTCTTGTTTTGTTGTCGGGAAGACACACTCTTGCGAGAGACATTCTTCATCTGCGGTTCCAGTGTGGACGCAGCTCCTGCAGCTCTCAGTGCTTTCTCATGGTGTGAGGGAAGCAGAGTACAGCTGTGTTATTTTTTAAAATGACTGATGGAGAAGGTCAAGGCCACCTTCCACAGCTGAGCTGAGCAGGACCCGGCTCTGCTCTGAAGATATGCTGCCTGCCCTAGCTGGTTTTGCTCAGCGGATAGAGCTTCAGCCTGTGGACTAAAGGGTCCCGGGTTCGATTCCAGTCAAGGGCACATGCCCGGGTTACAGACTCGATCCCCAGTAGGGGGCGTGCAGGAGGCAGCTGATGAATGAATGATTCTCTCTCATCATTGATGTTTCTCTCTCTCCCTCTCCTCCCTTCCTTGAAATCAATTTTTTTTAAAAAGGACACAGTGCCTTCTTCTTACTGGGTGGACCTCCTCATGTCTGACAGGGAGTTGCAACAGGTCACACCACAGCCCGAGCCCACAGAGGCCCTGCCTCTCCAGGGAGGAGAGAGTTTCCAGAGCTCAGCTTGTCTGGGCAGCGCATCCAGTGTGCAGACCCTTGGCAGAGCTCAGGGCCCAGGGTGGACGATTTGCGCCAAGATGGCCAGTTCCTCAGAGAAGACCTCTGCTGTAGAGTCGCAGGCGTGGATGTATAGATTCAACACCATAACAAGTTCATTTTTTTTGTCTTCTATCTGATTTGCATTTTGATCAGGGTCTTCAATGAATATATTAAATTCGTATTGATCAAACTTATAAATGCCTTCTTTTTACTGGGTGGACCTCCTCATGTCTGACAGGGAGTTGCAACAGGTCACACCACAGCCCGAGCCCACAGAGGCCCTGCCTCTCCAGGGAGGAGAGAGTTTCCAGAACTCAGCTTGTCTGGGCAGCGCATCCAGTGTGCAGAGCCTTGGCAGAGCTCAGGGCCCAGGGCGAACGATTTGCCCAAGATGGCCAGTTCCTCAGAGAAGACCTCTGCTGTAGAGTCGCAGGCGTGGATGTATAGATTCAACACCATAACAAGTTCATTTTTTTTGTCTTCTATCTGATTTGCATTTTGATCAGGGTCTTCAATGAATATATTAAATTCGTATTGATCAAACTTATAAATGACACAAATATGGAATGGATAACTACTATTTTTTATGAAAGGACATAAAACAATCAGATCTGACTTAAATCACAGATCAAAGCAAACAAAAGAAAACGTAATAAGGTCAATATAAAGATTGACATTTCCATTAAAAATAAATTGCCCAAGGATGGGCCGGGATAGGGGAGACCTGTGTGTGTGACAATTAATGTGAAAAAGTGCTGAGCCTTCCAGGAGTCTTTACAATAAGTCATGTGTGTTTGGACATAACAGCACACTTTCCGCTGTGCCGACCCCAGAGAGATGTCCGTGTGAGCCTCACAGCTGGGACCACCCAGAGGAGCAGGTGACGCTTCGGGGCCGTGCTTGGTCCCAGAGACACCAGCGGTCCCTCCGATGGGAGAGAACCCACCGGCAGAATCTAGAACACACGGGCAGAAGCTACCGGAGGGAATTTTCACAGAAATCCAAGAAAAAAATGTATGGCCATTGCAGTTGTTTAGCCGCGACATAGGCTGCTTCAGAGCTGGCTCACTCTGGCCCCTCGTGTGAAGGGCAGGACAGAGTCTCCCTGAGCCTGGGTGCTGGGAAGGGGGCTGGGGTCAGGGGAGGTGGCACTGCCCTCAAGACTCGTTTTACTCTGTGGTGCTTTTGTTGGAAATTAATTCAAGATGAATGGAACTTAAAGAGTTATCTTTTCTGTATCTTTTCTGAAATCCGGTTTGCTCTGTGGGAGGTTACTTCATGCCTATTCATGTTTCCAGATTTTAGCTCTATTTTTCCATGAAAATGTGGAAAATGTCCACATGAGTTGGTGTGTAGGGTGTCAGTATACTCGCTCAGTGCGTGCCTGTGATTCCCTCTATGTTCCCGTCGAACTGCCTCATCTCTGTTCTCAGCAAGGCGCCCGGCTCTCTGTCCACCCTCTGAGCCAGGATTTACTTTATTCTAAAGTTTCATAATACACATGTGTTCCCAAGCACAGCTTCTTGGCTCTCTGTGAGTCTTATTGGGGATATAAATTAGGAAATAGTAACAAAAATCTTCCAGAATAGTGGTTAGCAAACTCCTCTCCTTAACCCTTCAGAGGCTTGGGGTCCCCATCCCCGCAGCGCTGCCTCCCTCGCTTGAGCCCTCTGTGCCACCCTCCTCTCTGCTCCCAGCACAGAGGATTAGCAGACGCAAGGATGAACAGACTCAGTTCCTGTCCGGGGGGAAAGCTGCACTGCAATTTTCTCCACCTAAACCTCCACAATTATATTCAAAGTCTATACATTGAGGAGGTCTCTATTTCTGCAGGTTTGGAAGCGTCTAATTTTGGAATAAGATTTGGGATTAACAGCAGCAGAGAATTTACCACATTTTTTTGAGGGAACAGGGCTCAGGAGCATCCCCCCTCAGTGGTCGCTGTCAGGCTGAGCAGTGAGCAGCCTGGGCCTGTGTTGTCTGTTCTCACTGTGCCTGACTGAACGTGGCCAACCCAGAACCAGGATCTGGGCTGGTTTCCATAAAAGATGGTGACAGGATCCCAACAAAGGCACTCGCAGGCCTGGCTGAGCTCGGCAGCTGCATGAGCTGAAAGGACGACGTCGGCAGGAACGTGCCCAGCAGCACGGCCACCAGGCGGTCTGGGTGTCAGTGGCCTTAGGCCTCATTGCTCACCCGACGTCAGGGTTACGTCCCTGGGTCTGTCCTGGCTGGTACTCGTGGGGGGTTTGCCCTGAGCCAGAAAGGGAAGTGGGGACACCTGCCGTTTAGTGGCCAGGCCTTCCCTCTGGCCAACGCTGTGCGCGTCTTAATGACTGGAAACCTCGGTGTCGTTACTTGACTTAAAAAGAGAAATGCCTATGCGTGTACTTAGTAAGGAAGTGTGAGCGCAATCAGCATTTTATAATATCGACTGGCTTTCTTTTGTCTTTATTCTTACACGCACAGTTGTGTTCTCTTACTGGCAGTAAGTATTTGTTGAAAGTGAATATGTTATCTTACTGTCTCCCTTTCTCCATGGCCCTCAGCTGTCTATAAACACGTGCACACATGCACATATGCACACGCACACGCACACCTGACCTCAACAACCTTGGCGTGGGTGAGGCTGAGCACTCTGTTCTGTTTCTAGCGTCTGTCCCCCTGTCCGATGGCCTCGCTCTTGCCCCCCCCGCCCCAGGAAGCTGTAATTGTTCATCCAATTCTGTGGGAAATGGAAAGGACAGTGTGGCCTCGCTCTGCCCTGAGGACTCTCTGCCCTGAGGACCGTGCTGGTGCCCGTCCTGTCCAGTGCAGTGACCGCGGGCACCTGTGACGTGTGGCGGAGGCTCTGGGTGCTTATCTCATTCCATTGTCATGAAGTAGAACAGGTGCCCGTGACCAGTGGTGATCGCCGAAGATTCATCGCATCAGAGAAGGGGCGGGAAGATGAATGTGACTCCGTGTTCCACGTGCCTCCTCTGCACGAGCCAGATGGCCGCTTGGTCTCCGTAGACGTTAGGTGATCCTTTAAAAAAGAGAAGGAGAAGCAGTAGCCTCTGAGTAAAGCCTGTGTGGCTAACAGCAGCCTTCTCCCTGCTGGGCCGGTGCTCTACACGTCTGCTCTACGAGCGTTACTTTCACACATGTCCCAAGTGAGGTCACAATTTCTTCCATTTCACGTGAGAGGGAAGTGAGGTGCAGACTTACAGTAACAAACAGGAGCATGTGGTGGGCAGGGGGGTGTGGCTGATCCAGGTGGGGTTCCTCGTCGATGCACCTCCCAGAGCATAGCCTCCCCCTTGGTCTTTCCCAGGTGACAGTCCCGTCCTTGCTGGAGACAGGATGGAGGGCCTGCCCGCACGCCTCTGGGACGTGTCACTGAAACAGCGCACTGCTCCATGCTGCTAAGCCTCCGTGTTCTCCTTTTAATGTGGAGATAATGAGGCACCTGCCTCCTGGGCAGTCATGAGGGTTAAAGGAATGACTGGTTCCCGGCACGTTGTGTGAACCATATGTACTTGCCATCGTCATGGTTCTCGATTTGAAAGAGCTGCCGTGTGTTCGGCCGCTGTGGTAACGCGATAGGAATAGATGAAATAGAGACGCCTGGGTGTGCTTGCCCCGGAGACGGGAGCCTCTAGTTATTGGTCCCTCGGGAAGCAGCTCCTGCCGCTCGGACCTGTGGTGTTGCCTTCGCGGGCTTGTGTGTCGGAGCCCACGTGCCCAGCCCGTCCTCACATCTTTGCTTTTCATGTCGCCCATGGATGTCCCCTTGGTGCTCTGGTTGGCTCTGAATGCCGTGCAGGGCCAGAGCCAGCGCAGCTGGGCAGCTGTGGGCCTGCCCCCACCTTGCAGGGGACCGATGGCCATGGACACACCTCAGGGACAGAGCCACTGCCTGTCCCCAGGGCCTGACATCTGCTCACAGCCCATGCGAGTGGGTGCTGCTGCCGTCCACGGTGGGCTGACCCCTCCTTGTTCCCCCACAGATGGCCGCTGCCCAGGACGCCCGGTCTGGCCAGAAAGACTCCTCCGACCAGAACTTTGATTACATGTTCAAGCTGCTCATCATAGGCAACAGCAGCGTGGGCAAGACCTCCTTCCTGTTCCGCTACGCGGACGACTCCTTCACGTCCGCCTTCGTCAGCACCGTGGGCATCGACTTCAAAGTGAAGACTGTGTTCAAGAACGAGAAGAGAATCAAGCTTCAGATCTGGGTAAGTGGCTGTGCCGAGTGTGCTCAGTCCTGGGCGTGGGGCACACGTGTGCGGGGAGGGCTCCTGCCCATCTCCGCGCCACGGTCCCGATGCAGCGCTTTGCTGTGGGGCATTGTTTTAGGGCGGGAGCGAAGCCTCTTTAAGGCTTGGAAACTGTGCCTGTTGTCAAGTCGTGCTTCTTATGAGCGCCCGGAAAAAGGAAAACGTATGGCCACTGTGTTGGTGGGAGGAGCGGTCGGTCTGCTCGGCCTTATGACCCCTGTGACCTTGAGCACCATGAAGCCTTCCTCACCACCTTTCTAACCCACAGACCGGCAAAGTGGGTCTCACCTTTGATGCCACAGGACGCAGGCAAACAGCCAAATGCAGGGAAGTGAAGTCTGTCCCTTCAAAAATCCCAGCTACAACCTCAGACGAGGTTGATTTACACTTCACAGACTCCGTGTCCTCAGCCCTAATAGGTATGTTTATCCACACAAAGAAAACAAAGCAAGAGGAATAAAACGTTTATTTTAAACATGGTTTCCCTGAGCACAAGGTGCTCCATCAGCTTAGAGACCAGCTGGCCTCCCTGCCTCCATCTATAGACCAGGGATTTGTCACCAAACTGCTGGGGTAAATCAGAGCGGCCAGTGAGAGACAGAAGGAATGCAGGCGGGCAGTGGGGCCAAGGTCAGATGGGAGATGAGGGGCCAGGAACGTGGGTGCACAGGAGAGAACTGCTACGCATTCACGTCTACGAGGTGAAGTGTAGGCCACTGGCCGGCCGTTTCCGTGAGTGCAGGCCCCTTTTCCTGTCCATGATCCTTGGCTGCTGACGTCGATTTGAGCTGCAAACAGGCTTTTCCCACGAGGGAGGTTTCTCCTGAGCTGGTTCTGACACCACCTGGTGCAGGTGCCGGGCTGGCCCCAACCCAGGGCGAGCCTTACTGCTCGAAGGAGCTGAGAGACAGGCTGTGGGCAGAGCGCCCTTATGCACATGTCGGTGACACTGGGTGCCCTTCCACAGCTCAGCTCTCGGTGCACAGGCTGGCGTCCTCACAGGTGTCTGCAGTGGGTTCCTGCTCTTCCACTTGTCTAACTGGGGTCTTCCCAGCCCAGCTGCAGTCAGGGGAGAGTGCGGGGAAGTGGCTGTGCCCGTGGCTTTGTCATGAGAAGTGTCCTCGCAGGCGGTGCATGGTTGTGCGGTGGCCCTTCTACAGGGCGTGTCCCAGGTACGGAGGAAAGTGTCTTGGAAGGGGCTTGAGCGGAGGCATGAGGAGGCGTGAGGAGTAACAGGGAGTGCCCTGGTGTTGTTCCCACCATTGGGGTCTGTGTGATGATGCAGTGTGAGCACCGGGAAAACAGTGAGGTTGCACAGTTCCTACTGTCTGTCGGCTTCAGGAGATCATTTATTTAGGAATGTGTTTGACGTTGATGGTGTGCTGTCTCATTGCATTTCCATCACTGCCCGGCTGCTCTTCCTGGTTCATGGTATTTCCATGGACTTCTCCCAACGTGCAAACGAGTTGTCGAGATGTGCGGTCATCTTGGCCTGTGCTACCCTCGCTCCTGCTCCCAACACTGATACCGCACGTGTGGGACCGACACACCAGCAGTTCCTTTGTTCTCTGCTGTCTGACACTGACTCCAGGCGTGGCAGGGACTCACAGGGAATGACTGAGTTCCACAGGTTCCCCTTCAGAGACCAGCTGCTCCCACACCTGCCCCCTCACACCCACTGTCATGGTTGATAATCTGCTAGAACAGCTCACAAAACGCAGGAAGCAGGTTTCTCACTGTCGTTGGCTTATTGCCCATAGGACACAACTCAGGAGCAGAAGAGAGAAGAGGTGCACAGGACAGTCAATTAGCATATTCCCTCCTTATTGGCTGTGGGTGCCGCCATCTTTGCAATGGTGTGGGGTCAATTAGCATATTCCCTCTTTATTAGATAGGATTATACAGGACACAACTCAGGAGCAGAAGAGAGAAGAGGCGCACAGGACAGAGGGTGGGGAGGGATGAGGTGCTGCTTCTGTGTCCCCTCTGGGCGTGGCACCTGCACGGTGGTGCGCTCTCCCCCCGACGCGCACACGCTTCCTCCTCAGGGTGTGGGCCTTCCATTCCAGGCCCCAGTGGATTAAAATCACTGGCCATTGCTGATTAACCTGGTTCTCAGCACCTGTCCCCCAGTAGGTGGGGGAGGCGGGGTGAGGGGATGTTCTAGTCCAGGGGTGGGCAAACTTTTTGACTCGAGGGCCACAATGGGTTCTTAAACTGGACCGGAGGGCCGGAACAAAAGCATGGATGGAGTGTTTGTGTGAACTAATATAAATTCAAAGTAAACATCATTACATAAAAGGGTACGGTCTTTTTTTTTTTAGTTTTATTCATTTCAAACGGGCCGGATCCGGCCCACGGGCTGTAGTTTGCCCACGGCTGTTCTAGTCCTTTGATCCATGGTTTGCTCTTCTGCAAACAGTCCTTGTCCTGAGGCCTTGGAGGGGCCGCCAGGGGTCCCCTTGTGGGCAAGACCTGGGTGGAGGGAGGGCTGTTGTGAGTAGTCACCAACGATGGACCCCAGGATCTCAGGAGCCTGCACCAGGAGCCAGGAGGAGAGCAGACCTGCGTCTCTTACTCTGTGGCCATATCTCAGCCTCTCATCTGTTTCAAAGGGGGAGACGCAAAGTGGGTTCACAGAAATGAAAACCGTCGTGATTGGTCCAATGCACCAAACGCTGCAGATATCGATGTAATTCTGTTCACTCTCCTGGTTTTAAACTGCCCACAGGAGAGCTACCTTCAGGAGGGGAAACCACGGTGTAGAGAGGCTAAGAGACAAGGCAGAGCAGGGTCTCAAGTCCAGTCCGCGGGTGCCGGCCGGTCTGGTGCTGACCTGCCAGTTCCGCAAGGCCAGTGCTGAGTCAGGGCAGTTGTGCCGTGTCGGGCCTGCTTGTCAGGCACCCACAGGCCCGGGAGCTCCAACCCGAGGCCAGACCTCAGGAGGGATTCTGTCAGGAGGCAGAGCTGGGGGCTCCCTGTTTCTGCTCCCTGGTGTGCTGCATGGGGTCTCCACACCCACACCCTGGACAGCTGGTTTCCCACAGCCCACAGCCAAGTACAGCGTGGCTACAGCCACAGAAACGTGAGGTTTCTTCTCGGATGTGTCCTTCCTGCTGACGTCCATCACCGCCTGGGAGCGAGCCTGTCTAGAGAACGTCGCCGTTCGCTTGCACGAGTCACAGACTCTGTGTCTGTCAGTGCACGTTGCTCCCGCTGTCTTCACTGCCTTAGCATTCCTGCGCACTTCCGTTTCACTGTCATTTTTATGAGACTCCAATCAAAATTTTCAAGATTTCAGAGACTCCAAGTATTTAGGCTGGTTCCTTTATTACTTTGTATCTATTTAGTGCTGCTATGAATATACTGGGGACAGATTCAGTGTGGTTTTTCACTTTAATTATGGAGAAATATCTCACAGCTGGGGCCTGCAATCTTTTGCTTCTACTTAAAAAGTAGTTAGGCCTCAAGAATGGCCCTGGAGAGATTTCTCCCCAGTGAGAAGATCACAAGTAATGCAGCATCCTACACTGAGCACCTCTCCTGTGTTTATTGTCAGCGTCCGGGTTACCCTATGGGAGCCCTGAGCTTAGAGAAGCCTGCAGTAGTCTGGCCATTCCTGCCCGGTCCTGTGTGGGCAGCCATGTGTGCGGGTGGCCACACTGTGTGCAGGCGGCCACGCTGTGTGCATGTGGCTACACTGTGTGCAGGCGGCCACGCTGTGTGCATGTGGCTACACTGTGTGCATGTGGCTACACTGTGCAGGTGACCACACTGCGTAGCTCCCTTTCCCCAGGAAAGCACGGGTCTGCATTGTTCACGTCCAGAAGTCGGTGTTGGCTCTGACTATGGGAGACTGGCTTAGAGCTCAAAGGGTGAAGTGCACAGAGCAGGTAGGCAGCAGGATTATGTGTCCTTAAGAGTCATCACGAGCATTTGCTCATTGTTGCATCTCTTTTCCTCATCGGCACCTTCCCGCCCTCACTCCTGAGCTCTGGCTGAGCTCATAGGAAGCGTGTCCTCAGGTGGTCAGGGCCAGGGCTGCCACCCGAAGGGCCCGGTCTGAGCCGTGCTGGTTTGTTGTCCCAGAGATGCCGTCTGCTTGTCCACCGTGCGCTCCCCAACCACACGATCTGCAGAAGCTGTGTCACCGTCAGGTGCAGGAGGTGACGTGAAGCGAGGGGAAGAGGGTGTTTTAAAATAGAGGCTCTGGCATTACTTAGGGGTGGCCAGGCCGACAGGTCAGCAGACAACTGCCACCCACACATTGTGTTGTACTCACGGATCCCAAGCCAATCCCCGGGAGGGTCAGGAGCAGAGGGAGAGACAGCCTGTGGCAGGAGCCCCTGTGGCAGTTTCTGGAGGAGTGGGGAGGCTGCGGGCAGGATTGGGACTGGCTGGCTGCATGTCTCAGCAGGCCCTGGGCACGGGGTCCTGGCTGACGGGGCTGCCCTGGGTGATGTGGGCAGGTGGACGGGGCCAGAGGTGAGCGCCTGGTGAGGGAGGGGCTGGGGCATGAGTGCTGGATTGGGGGTTTGCATTTGAGAAGTGAACCCCAGTGGGTGAAGCTTCCTGTCTATGGTACTTACTGGACAGGTGGCAGAGACGCAGGTGTGGGAGGAGAGCAGAGGCTGAGTCTGCCCAGCACGGCCTATCAGGGGTCGGCCACCATCACTGCATTTGTCAGAGACTGAGAGGCAGGCGGGAGAGGGATGCCTTTTAGGGGAGATATAAACCATGTTGTTTTACTTTAGCCAATAGGTCTGTCTTCCTCTTTTAAGAAAAAATACAGTAGTTTTGCTAACTTATGAATTATGTTGGCTGTGTAGCTCACTGACATTCTTCATAACATTTTTTAGTGGGAAAGTGTGTTCTAAATTCTGAATGAGAATGCAGAAGTTAATACCTGGAAGTCTGCCCATTCTTAAGACTGAGACTCCATGTAAGAGAAAAGTAGG